AATAATATTTAGATGTGAAATAAAACTTCAATTGAAATAACTTAATTAAATATTTTTTAAAGATACTCTATGGGGTAACAGCGTTATTATCTAAGATAGTTCATATCTATAAAATAATCGGCTATAGCCAGTTTGGAGCGAAAGTACTTGCAAGTCACACTAGCGTCAGTGGCTATCGCGAACCTCCGTTCACACTCGTATGGGTAAGGCTATTGCCCAGAGAGCAGCCAAACGCTATCTCCGACGATTGTTACTTCGTTTCGCCAAGAGCATAGGCTACCACGCGCTTCGCATCGCCACCGAACTGGACGAGCCTCCAAACCGGCTTCACCCGCGTTAATTTGTATTTCGCTCGGTAAACATTCCCCAAGGTGTTTCAAAAAAGATCCATTCGTCCTTCAATGCTAGAAATGGTTTTTGAAAATTCATGTGGAAAAGACGTTCGTTTTTGACAAATCGTATGACGGTTTGTTTAAGTCCTGTGCAAACTAGCGGTAATAAGACACCAGCTCTAGGAAGCTTCATAATTGACGAAAAATAGTTGACAGAACTGGGGCGTCTATCGCCGTAAACTTCTTTGGGTCAGGAAAGATTGTCTGTGGGGAAACTCTCTGACTGAGGTACACGACCTCTTGCTTAACGAACTAACTTTTGGACACCCTAAGGTTTAGATCGGCAGCCCTTCGGAGAGGAAGTATTTCTCGGAGGTGCTGTAGATACCCTTCCAATCTCTAAGAGAATACAGTGATATCACTGGGATAGACCAGTACATATGGTACCGCAACGTGCTTGGTACCCCGTCTATCATTCAGAAAAACGTTGGCGACGCATTGGCCAATCCGAAAAGCATCGGTTTAAATTGATGTAGACTGATTGAAGTAAAAGAAGCGGTTTCCTTTTTGTCACTAGGCAATGAAGATCTATCTGTCAATGGCCGCTACTCATCAGGCTCAAAGCGGAAACATCTGGATTCCTTCTAGCACATCGGACATACCGTTGGTCAATAACAATGAAAAGACGTCTCTTTTTGTGACCGCATTCACCTTTTGGGGATCCACGCAAAATCGAAATGAACTGTCTTTCTTTCTCACCAAGATGACGCGAGAAGCCCACTGGACGAAGCCTCGATCATGTCATTGTCCAACATCTGCTGCAGAGGGAAACGCAATCATCTGTGGGTACGGTGACTAACCAGGTGTAATGTGGGTAGCCTTCCCGATCTTTAAAATAAATACCCGAACTCGACACGTAGCAGATCCTTACGGCAGATTAATTCATACAATTGTAGACGTAGAATTCGAATGGCTTTGTTGAAGGATGAGACACGTATCGGAGACCTCTAATCTAGTGAGTCATACGCACACCTGAACTTGGCTTACCTTGGCTAGCTCTTTTCATGTAGACCGGCCATCATTCGAGGTTAGTGATTAAGATTTCACATGCCCCTTTCTGTTCAGTGGTACCCATGTCGTACGGAGTCATGAAAGTACCCACTGAAGATGCATACATAGCTCCATCCGCCTGGATCGAAGACCTCAATAACCCGACTGTTGCAAAGCGCTTCGGAGATATCACTGTTCTATTTTGGCTGAGCGACCATGACGCTGACGGCTTGTTTAGCAGTCCACGACTATGGGGGGCTATGCGTCGGTGTCATTCAGGCACCCGGCCGAAACATCAGTTGTATCATCCATCCCAATGCTCAGAATGGCCGAGACTAGTTCCACACATCCCAGTTTGACGTCGATCTTAAACTCTGAACGGGCAGCGATTCCGTTGAATTGAACGGAAGGGGGGAGGGGCAGCACTAACGCGACCAGACGTTTGGCAGTCATGCACGCGGGCAATTAACCTAGAGGCGGCCCCGTTTCTAACACCAACAACACACTGCGTCGGTATCACAATCCGTAGTGCCAGGTTGAGCAGATAGTTTCCCGTACTGTCGGGCTTCCCTTGTCGCAATCTTCTGGCGTATAATGCTAGGTGGTCTAAATCAGGGCACCATACCAGGTCGAATTAACCACCGCAATGAAGTTCGCAAAGGGAATCAACCTCACTCCTTTCGGTCCTGGTCGGGCAGTTCGAACTCCTGCTCGTCTATGAAAGCCCGCTTGGTTTTGATGAACCCGTCGAATGTCTCTCTCTCACTCTTTATCCGCTTGAAGAACTTTTTCGGTGGATCATCCTGCTTCGTTGAAAATCGTTTGTGCAATTTTTGTTTAAAGGTACGATCTCGAAGTCGACAACCGGGCCATGTAGATATGGCTTCATACGTCGCACTACGTATTCTTGTATCTATTTCCTGCAACTATTTGGTAGGACCGCTACTATCGAAACCAGGAATCCGATCCTATTAGCCCGCTTCAGACTCTTCATGAATAGACGGATCAGATTATCAATTTTTCCTGACTGCGAAAAGATATTATGTACGCACAGCCGGCCGGAATACATTGTCATTATATATTTTATACGTCCGTGTCAACATACAGAGGTATAAATGTCCTCCAAATAGCCAGTAGCTAGTCGGATACTAGCTAGCATTTCAGCCTACTCCAGAAATCGAAAATCTTTGCCCGCTTTCCTTCCACAGTGAGATCATACCCTTGTAAGCAGTCACATAGAGCTGTAACAATACGCGAAGCGACATCGCTCCTTAGTGAACACCCTATGAGATGAGAGCATTTTGACAATATAACAAATGGTTGAAAATACAGTCGCATTGCCTCTCGAGGCATCTCGCCAAATGCTTGCTATAATCTTCTAACTTAATCCCCCAGCACCCCATTTCGTCTCGTGCACGAACATACACTCTCCATTTCGAACAAATAGTAGAAACATGGTCACAGATATATAGTAGATAGATACAAAGCACTCGCCTAGCTTATGTAGCCCAAGCTATAATCGAGAAAGAGAAGGCAATCAAGATTGTTGACGGAGCAGGAAATAGAATAGCGCTGCTTACCAAACATATCGAACTGGCCTTTCCTACTCGTGCCTGTTGCTCATTGACTGAATAGATCAACGCATCAGCGGCTGTCAAATCTTGTATATCGATGCCGAGGATAGCGATTTGTTCACTTGTTCATCCTTCATCCTAATAAACTGTTTTCACGCTCTTCGATAACGAAATTGGCCGATGCACGTAGCAGCGAAGGCACGCAGATGGTGAATGAAGGGTGATAAAAGGTCTTCGCGATTCAGCCACCGATAGAAAAGACGAAAACGCTTCTAAATTTGCTATAGCCACTGATAGCAATCTTGGTAAAAGATCTGCAAATAACTGCGACAAGATCGACTGTAGAGAGGAAGGGCACGCGAGGATTGTATCAAGGTCCGCTTTATAGAAAGACAATTGCAAGCCAGGCGTTGTTGGAGATCACTGCCTGGAGTCACTCGATTGTTTCGAATAAGGTGGCGTGAAGGCCAGGCCACTTCGCATTTTCCGTCTAACATTGCCTCGTAAGCACTGTTTCAGCCGCCTTGTTTTCTCCACGAAATAAATTGTATGCCTGAGCCCGGTTTCGAACCTAGACCATTTCATGTACTCATATCATGCAACATATAAGGTAAATAAGTTATCACTCCAGCATCGTAAAGAGGACTTGAATCTACGTATAAAAACCAAATAGGCTCGAAATGTGGCAGAAAACTAGGCTAACAGTTACAGCAGTTGCTGCCTACAACGTCCTAACTGTAAATTCGTGGGTGTTGTTTATTGTTTGACTCTACTGTAGCCCATCTGCGCTATATTCTTCCCTGCCTTGTAATTCGCATTCGTGTTAATCAATAACATCGAATTTCGATAATCTCCTTAATTAGATTTTGCGATTATGTTGTAACGGATTTTCCTGCGTGCTCCATCTCCTCCTACCCTTCTGTTCCGGACGTATGTAGTTACGACTGCTGTTAAGCTCTTCTGCACACGTAGTTATGACGAACTTGCCGTGCGTTAGATTAACGAATTGAGTGGTTGGTGTTTACCAGTGCAAGTTCCAAGATCGAACTGTAAATAGCACCATCTAGCGGCCCTTTAAACATATACCTTTCAAATGTAAGAATCATATGCCACAGGTACGAGGCAATAGCAGTAAATATCACATATCCCCAAATTTACAACTAGAACAACAACTTTACTTATCCCGGTTAATCGCTGGTTGCCCAAATCAATTCTCCCAACTTTCTGTCACTTTTCCATTCTTTCTAACATACTTTTATCTTTGCCTGCTTCTCAATGTAATTTAATCGGGGGTGCTTGGCGTCTTCGGTAACTCTCTGGTGAGCAACGGTGGTTAGCTCGCATAGGCCACAGCGGGGGCCTGAAGGGTTGGGACACGCGGGAACTGCGAGGCCGCCGCATAACGTTTACCGTGCTCGTCGGAAAGAGTGGGTGGAGCTAGAAATACGCCAGAGTTTCACGCTTCTTCTGCCATCAAGGGGATCTGCTTCGGTCAGCACCATATTGTATATAATTAAATTAAGATGACCACCTCTGTAGGCTATGTCCGCTTCTACAGCTTTGTTCACCTAACGGCAATGAGCACACGTTTTAAATATGAGAGGCAGATGTATGGGATACCGTTTATTGGTTCGGGTGGTTGGTTGCTTTGTCGACCGCACAGAGGAGGAACGATGATGGAAGCAATTTTAGTGGTAGCCGAGCCTGGTAAAGCTGCATGCTCGTAGTATTTTGTGCATCAGAATTCAAGCGTGGGGCACGTGTGTGCATGCGCAACTAAAGAGTACGATAGTTCACAGTTGGATGAGAAGCGGATTGCTCATAAAGGGAATCGAGTGAAGATGACAAGGCGTAAATCGGGATCAATATTCCAGTTTACAGACATTTGATATAGACTCGCATCATATCACCGACATTAGAATATACATGATACCCTTCTTGTACTTTACCTATATATAGATATATTTTTCTAAACGGCGACAGTAATTGGTCTATAATGGACACATGATATGTAAGTTTGTCTGTCTTAACTGTTGTTGCTTACCCTTCGGGGTTCTTCAAGGAGGACGTCGTTGTAGGTTAACGAGGACCTCATCCGAGTGGGCAAAGGTAGTGTCGCCGTCGAATGCATGTTCGGGCTCCTCAGAGAACTGTGTCCGACAATCATCATTCCTCCGTGGACCTCGTCCGAGGGGTGAGTATTCCCCGACACCATCGGCGCCATCACCATGCTGACGCCGCTATTCGCGCCTCCACCAGCGGCATCAAGTGTGTAGTTGTTTGCCTGTGAAGTGAGCAGGCGTCGCGTCCAGTTCACCACGTTTATACACGGACGCGTATCGTTTGGCTTTAGATTCGGTGAAAGTCAACATGGTTGGCGAGTTAGCTGACCAAAATCTAGCTGTATGAATTGTCGTCTTTCCCCATATTATTGTTATATCCCCATATTATATGTTGTAGCACTGAGCATATAGAAAAAGGGTTTCCGTGTATTAATACGTCTGACACGTATGTTTTGTATAAGGTTTATTATTTGAAGAAAATGCCAATTTTTGTCAATAATAGACTTACCTGTTAAAGGCCGAAATTAGGTCTAGAATAACGTTTACATTGTATTGCTGAAGTAATATTTAAATACAGTTTCAGCTACTGTGTATTGCGTGTATGTAATTCACTGTAATATAAGCATTGACTAGATGAAGAAACAGACGAAAATGGCTTTTTGAGCAGTTATTATTGTACATCACGTCGATGATGGTGGTGATGCAAATGACTATGATGTGAAGCGTGATGACAAAATGCTGCGACATGCGAATGAAAAGCGATGAGATAGGGTTAGCCAAATCGACCACAAATTGCCCACAATGGCACACCACGGGAACCTGTCATGACCCTGCTTCCCAACACGCACATCCACAAGTACACTCGCACACAGACAGACGCACAATTCCAAGAGACAGCCGCTTCAGACAAACCCACGCGTACCTTTTTGATGTCACCTCAATCGCAGACATTATCGTCGTCTCCATGAACATAAACAACAATCTCTTCCCTCTCTCTATATTTTCCTATACTCAGCTGTTCCTCGCTGCTAGCTTCGCTAAAACCTGTCGAGCAGCGCCCTCCTGCTCTAAAACTCGCTCTCGTCCAATCGGGACTTCCCGTTCATTTGATTTGTCCCGCGATTTGTTCTATTTGTCTTCCCTCACCAACGTCGTACCTTTATTTTTTTTTTGTTCGCCGACCCCATCATCGCCGAAAGTACTTACCAGCGAGTGTGCCGAGATGTCGGCTGGGTACTGGTGGCTACCCACTGCGTGCGAGTGGGCACCTATGTGAGTGACATGACCACGTCCACTTAGTGTCATATAGGCGGGGGGAAGCGTTCCGTACGTCGGATGGTGAGCAGAGATGGTATAGTCACCGATGGTTGTTGGCTGAGGCGACCCAGATTTCCGAGCGAACTTGAGCTGTATCGGCGCTAAAGGCTGTTATTTGTCGTTGTCGCAGTTGCCGTAGTTGTCGTTGTCGTCGTCGTTTTGCCAAAAATAGACGGAAATGCGATATGGCAACACGGATATTGGGGGAACCAAACACGCGCATGACATGCGAATTCCACCAACCGCGTTAACAGGCAGCACACGACATATCACAAAACAGTTACAGGATCGATCACGGGACGACGTCCATGAATCAGGTCACGCGTCACCACGCCACACCATGACGATATTGAGAACGCGACAGTCACGCACACATACAAATAGGACAAATGCAAACAAAAAACAAAGCACGAGCGGTCCAAATCAAGAGGGTGACCGTCTCACGCGAGCGAAAAATAATCGGACAAAGGACAAAAATCGAGAGACACGTTTGGCAGAAAAAATTACATCAATGACAAAAAGGGACATAAAAAAGGCCAGAAAAATTAAGTAGAATCAGAGAACGAACAAAGGGAGTAGGAGACAGAGCGTGTTAGTGGAACGATGACGTTAATGCACAAATTTTCTGATTTAATTTATATAGTTAGTTATTACCGTCACCGCGATACATATATATAGA